AAATCCTCTGTCCCTGGCATTTTCTGCTATTGCCCCTGCACTATGGAACACCCTTAAGCAGGTAAGATGAACCTACTGGATCAGGCCACTGGTCCATCTAGCCCAGCATCCTGTTCTCATGCTGACTGACCAGATATCTGCCCGTGGGAAACCCATATTTTTTTTTTAATAAATATTTTTTATTGCGTTTCTTTCCATAGTTTCACAAGTTCAAAAATACAAGAGTAAAAAACAAGAAACAAATTTTGAAGATATAAGAAAATAAAAAAGAATAAATATGTGTCAAATCATCTTCCCATAATTTATCACTGTCAGTTGGACCTCCTCACATCTTCCAGGCCTTGCGTTCTATGCAATAACAGTGTCAGCAATTTGTTACCTTATTTCATGACTTACTGTAACTTTCAATTATTATGTTTCCAAATTCAAAATGTTATAACCCAGTTTTAGTACCTTTAAAATAAACATAATATATTTGTTTCACATTTGTCTCCTCTTTTTTTCTTTGTTATCACTTACTTTACCATTTACTTAATCAAATTGCGAAAGCATAACATTTCCTGATCGTGCACATTCTTAACATTCATACAGTTTATAATGTTTTTGCAAATAGCCCTTAATTTTTTCCAGTCCTCCTCTATTATTTCCTCGTCCAGATCTCGGATTCTGCCAGTCATTTCAGCCAGTTCCATATAGTCCATCAACTGCGTCTGCCATTCCTCCAGTGTGGGTAAATCTTGTGTCTTCCAGTGCTTTGCGATGAGAATTCTTGCTGCTGTAGTTGCATACATAAACAAGGTTCTCCCGTGGGAAACCCATAGACAGGATTCGAGCACAAGAGCGCTCTCCCCTCTTGCGGCTTCCAGCAACTGCTATTCAGAAGCATCGCTGCCTCCAATTGTGGAGGCAGAATAGCCATTGATAGCCGTCTCCTCCACGGATCTGTCTCGTCCTCTTTTAAAACCATCTACGTGGGTGACCATCGCTGCCTCCTGTGGGAGGGAGTGTTACGATATTCCGTTCCACCTTAACAGATATGTGGAATTGTTGTATGTCACATGTCTGTTTACATTCCAGCACAGATTGCTGGGAACTTCCATTGTGTGCATAGTGTTGCAGGAACACCCCCCCCCCAATCATTCAGTTTGTACAAACACCATACACACACACACTCACACACAACATACGCAATATTTCTGTTATAAATTCATAGTAAATCAACCATACATCAGATTTACACCGGTCCACTTTTATTTTACTCCATGAAGGAAGGACTATCAAAGGGCGATGGTTTGATACAGGATGGCCATAATCCCTTACCCGTACCAGCACATACCCAGGAGCCCTACCCAGTTGGCATGACAACCTTGATGGTCCCAGACAGAAGACCATCAAGGTCACAAAGGACTTGCATATGGGAGTGGATTCAACATGGACTGAAACAAAGGACAATGATCAGATCTTCCCTCTGGGGGCAGAAAACTGCCAGCTCCCCTTTGTCCTCTGGAAATGACTCATGGGGAGGGGGAAAGGAGGAACCAGCCAGGTGACAAGACACTCAGGTTACCACCACAACTCCTCCCTCAACCCCTCCTTTTTGTGATGTGTCAATGATGTAGTCATGATGTAGTTGTGATGCAGTTCTAGGGGTGTAGTTTGGGGGATTAGTAACTAATAAAAGCTGGGGTCTTCTTTTGTTCTGGGCTTCCATTTTGTTTCACCTGGTGGCAAGTGGGAGTCCTGTCGCGACAGTCTTCAATAAAGACCAAGCCTACTGACTGCTGTTTTGCTCTGGTATTCCTGGCTGGTGTCCTTGTTTTTTTGTCCAAGGGAGCCCTCGGATTTTTCCGTTAACAATAGCTTTTGCTTATGCTGCTTGCTTGGACACGAAGGGGAGAAGACATGGTTTTCCCTTTGTCCTGATGTTGAATAAAATGCCTGTAAATACGCTTTACACAGCCTCTATCTGCCCTTCTGTTGCAAAGAGTTTACTCTGCTGGTTTGCGTGCTCAGCTTCTGAAGGATGCTGAAGCTTGAGTCACAGTTACATGCTGATCCAAGGACTAGAGATCGCCCGGCAACCAGCAGGTGGGCTGGAGCCAGCTGGGGGCCTGCCAATTGCCCCCGTTTCCTTGGACGCATCCCAACAGGGAGTTCCGCAGTTTAAACTATGCACTGCGTGAAGAAGGACTTTATTTCCCCTGTCCGGAATCATCCAACATTTAGCTTTACTGGATGTCAACAAGATATGCTGCTAGGATTGTGGAGTTGGTGGGTACCCCAAGATTCATCTAGTCCAGGCACATCCAGCTCCCAAATAGACTTTAATCTACTCCCAGTATTAAAAATAAAATAATACCGGCAGTGATCTACCCATTGTCGTTGCCAAGAGTTTTTGAGCTTTTTGGGAGGAGGGTTGCCAAGAGTTGTTGAGCTTCCCCCTCCATATTTATTTCATCCAGCAATTGACCTGGAACACACTGGTGATCGACCTGTCGATCACAATCAATCTATTGGAAATGCCTGATCTAGTCTAATCTGCCAGCCATGCAGCAATCACAGCTAAATAATTCCCGACAGACGACCATCCAAACACTACTTTCAGAAAGTTCTTCCTGTTATATAGCCAGAATCTCCTTTCTTATAACTTGAATCCATTAGTTTGCTTCATTTCCCATGTGTCAGCCCTTTAGATATTTGAAGATGGCTATCCTATCTCCTTTCAGTCTCCTCTTCCCATTCTTTGAGCCTCCCAGGAAGATGAAAGACTTGGGTTGCAAAGAGTCACACTGTTTGCAACTCTGTCTATTTACACTTCAAGACTTAGGTCAGTTTCACCGCAGATGGCAAACTGTTCAACATATGTCTTCAGTCCATCTCTCGAGCGATATCAATTGGTCCTTTTCAGTCCAGGGACCAGCTGGGGCCTATTATGACACAAAGAACCCAACTCCCCCCCCCCCATTGTGTGAAAAAGCAATACATTTCATGAACACCGGCAGAGAGACATTCAGTCTCACAGTCTCCAAGGAACGGCAAGCTGTCTCCCACCTCAGAATAAATGTGGACTCTTGCATTTGTTATACAGGATGTTAACTTTACTGCTTCAATAGATGCACAATGCACCAAAATTACTGGTGCTGTGGGGAGCTGTGCTTTGCAAAGTCCCTGGCTGTTGTACATGAGAGAAAATAAAATCAACAGTAATGGTGCATTAACGACAGCTTTCAAAGCCTTCAGTTCCCTTGCTTTATTTTGCTTTGCGGAGGAAGGAAGAGGGAAAATATATATAAAAAATGGGAAATCAAGAATGGATAATGGATGCAGATGGGCATGTGTGGAAAAGCATAAAGGCACAGAGATGGAATCCTTTTTTAAAAGTCTCAACAGAAAAGAATCCACATGTATTTATTATTTTCTTTCAAGTGGAATGCCACAAGCAGGATACAAGCACAAGAGCACTCTTCCAGCATCTGGTAGTCAGAGGCACTGCTACCTTTAACAGGGGCAACAGGATATATGGGTCTGTTTTTGTACTACAATTCCTATCCTATCCAGAACCCACTGGATCTACTTAATACCACACCATCCTCAAAGATCTGGTGTGGCTTCATGTTGCAGGAGGTTATGTCATTCAACAGTAAACATCCTCACCCTATATTATGTTAACTATAAGTATTAAATTTATTATCTCCTGCTTAGACTATTGCAATGCACTCTGTGTGGGGCTGCCTTTGAAGGTGACTCAGAAACTACAACTAATACAAAATGTGGCAGCTAGACTGGTGACTGGGAGCGGCCGCAAGGACCATATAACACCGGTCCTAAAAGATCTTCACTGGCTTCCAGTATGTTTCTGAGCACAATTCAAAGTGTTGGCGCTGAACTTTAAAGCCCTAAATGGCCTCGGCCCAGTATACCTGAAGGAACATCTCCACCCCCATCGCTGAGTCCAGACACTGAGTCCAGCTCCAAGGTTCTTCTGGTGGTTCTCCCACTGTGAGAAGTGAGGTTACAAAGAACCAGGCAGAGGGCTTTCTCAGTAGTGGCGCCCGCCCTGTGGAATGGCCTCCCTTCAGATGTCAAGGAGATAAAGAACTATACAACTTTTAGAAGACATCTGAAGGCAGCCCTGTATAGGGAAGTTTTTAATGTTTGGTGCTTTCTTATGCTTTTATATTTGTTGGAAGATGTCCAAAGTAGTAGTAGTAGCAGCCTTTTGCATCCATGTCTAATCTTGCCCCTTTCCAAAATTGATTGCTGTGTGTGTTTCTTTTTGTAAATCTACCAAAGAATAAAATAAAATAAAACTGGTATTTTCTCAGGGCAGTGGAGGGTGTGTTTGCTGTGCCCTATTGGTGCAGCGGTGATAGCACTCACCCTTCTTCTGATAGGAATTCCTTTTATGGGGGACACTAAAAATGGGGGTGGGTCAACGAGGATCAGTTGTGGGGGGAGTGAGAAATGTCCCTATATTCATCTGAGAAATGTTGGTGAGTATGAGCCTTACACTGCCTGAGTTAAAGCTGCCTAAAGTGGTGGTCATTGCCACATCTTATTGAAGTTCACAGCTATTCTGTGTTGCAAATTATAAAGACTTCATAGTTATAACTATAAAGACCTCTGGGCTCAGCTTCACCCACAGAGCTCACCCAGAATGACTAAAAATGCCACGCAAGAGCCCCAAACCATATTTTCCAAGCTGGTGGGCTCCAACAATTTGGCCTTCACCCCAGTCTCTTCTGGATGAGGACCTAGGTGGACCATCCACCAGGTTCTATGGTTCAAATAACCCCCCCCCCATACACACTTTCATTAGTTTGCAGGTCAAGATGATACAGAGAGGGATAAAAAAATCTGGAAGTCTTTGCAATGCAGGAGAAGGGAGGGATTCCAACGAGATGTTTTGCACCTTGCTAAACATTTGGTGCGTGATACCAAGAAGAAAATTAGAGGTTGGCGTATCGGTTCAAAATGCATTGAACAAATTCTGTGCTTACCTGCTTCCTACTACTCTGTCCCTTGGGAAGCAGAGCTTTTGACTTCTCGGCGATTTTCTGGAAATACAATAACAGAATTAGTGGTCAGAACTGAATTGCGTTAGAAACTTGTGTGTGTGTGTACGCACGCGCACGCGCGCACACACACACACACACAGGGAGAGAGGAATATTGGGGGATGAGCTAACCCTATAATTTAGGAAAGGGGGGGAGTGCTTTGAAAGGGTAGGCCTTTTGAGAAATGAGAAGTAATTTTAACTTCAAGGGCGACAGGGTTATCAAAAGCAAAGCATGCATTTAAAAAGTGACAGCCCCAAGTGTGGTGAAATAGCAATTTGCCACTCAACAACAGCTCCCTGACACAACCAGGCCACTCAGGGAGGGGGAATATGCAATGGATAATTTTGGCACATTGTAATTTATTAAAAATAAATATATAGGTGGAAAACCGCCTGTGTAGGTTCTGATGGAACATGCATGGCTGAATGAGAGGAACGGGAATTGCAGAATGTATTCAATGACACCAACGACTGGTGTCATTGAATACATTCTCTCCAGATACGCCAATCCAAATTTATGATCAGAAAGGGAATAAAACAGCTCAAGCGTCAACAGGTGAGAACCACTGACCTTGGGCCAGCCATCATCTCAGCCTAGCCTACCTCACTGGGAGGTTGTAATGATAAAAGAGGAAGGGGGAAATCATGTACACCACCTTGAGCTCATTGGAGGAAAAGTGTGATAATTGGGTAAACAATCATGGCTGTGTCCAATGGTGTACACTTAGGGTTCAACTTATGCAATGGGGTGTCCCCTTCTTCTCTCCCTGAACTCCCTGAACTGCTCTGGAGTGTTCCTCAACCCTCTGGAGGAAATTTTGTGGGAGAAAGGAAGAGGAGAGGAGGGAGAGGATCTCTGCTGACTTCTGTGCAAGCAGAATGGCACTCTTGGACCCAACCCTAAACAAATAAGGAGAATTCTGGCAAGAATTGGAATAGGAACTACTGTAATATACAGGTTCGTGCAGAATGGAAAGTGATCAACACTCTGTTGACGTGGAACCATAGGTAGTTGCCAGAGATGAGTTAGATGAAGAACTAAGAAAGGGGACCAAATTTGGGAAATGTACAAAATATCCTCATTGCCAGAGTGCTCCTCATGATTATGGAGGCTCCAGAAAAGGTTATTTCACCAGCTTCGCTCCCTCTGGCCATGTTGTTTTGCCACTTTGCTTCATTCAGCTAAACGCCAGCTTGGCTTGGCAAATAGACTATGAGCTGAAACCTACCCAGGACCTCCTCTCCAGCAGCCCATGTATTGGCGTGAATCCATGGTTTAGTGTGACATGAAGCAGGCCAGGGAATCAGGGCAGCTTTCTACCTGCCTATGCAAAGCCTTCGCCTTGGAGTTCGCCTTTCAATCTCAGCAACTTGCTTCCAAGTTGGGAGGTTCTTTTAGGCTAAGTTCCTGACTTAGGAAGATTTGAAATCCCTGGCCATTTCTTTGCACTGCGAATCCCTGTGACAGGGTGAGCTCCCGTTGCTCGGTCCCTGCTCCTGCCGACCTAGCAGTTCGAAAGCACATCAAAGTGCAAGTAGATAAATAGGTACTGGAGCGGGAAGGTAAACGGCATTTCCGTGCGCTGCTCTGGTTTGCCAGAAGCGGCTTAGTCATGCTGGCCACATGACCTGGAAGCTGTACGCCAGCTCCCTCGGCCAATAAAGCGAGATGAGCGCCACAACCCCAGAGTCAGCCACAACTGGACCTAATGGTCAGGGGTCCCTTTACCTTTACCTTTTTACCTCCCTCTGAACTGCCGACCTCCAATATGCTACCTCGTAAGCCTCCCTTGGCTACTCTTAGACCACTCTGCTTGTTTCTGGTCCCGACGTTTCTGCACGTCTCCTTCCTCTTAACCCTCCGGGTAAAGTTATCATATTGTGATCACTCAGAAACCCCCTGGAAAGGGACTCCTACCCATTCCAACTCAGCTTATTTATTTTTTCAGATACAGGCTCATCATCACCTTTTGCACCGTTCCATATCGCTGAATGGCATCAGAGAGCTGGTTCTTCAGCCGGTCCAACTGAAGTCGTTCTTGCTGCACAAGATAAACAAGAAGATCAACAAGCATCATTAGCAGATAACAGGACATTGCTTTTCTGCCACTACTTAACCAGAGATAGTAAATTCTTAAGGCCCCTTGACCCTCAAACTTATTACATTAGCACTGGGCTGATATTAGGCTGAAGATGCAGCATGGCACAGAATTCACCACATCCAATATTCATCTATTATTATTATTATTATTATTATTATTATTATTATTATTATACCCCGCCCCTCTGGCTGAGTTGCCCCAGCCACTCTGGGCGGCTTCCAACACACACAAAATTAATAACAAAACATCAACATTAATAGTAATAATCTGATCCTATATAAAAAGTCACAACAACTTTAAAATAAACAACTTATACCAAATAAAGCTATATGCAATAATGCATTGGAATCCAAAAGTAAACACTAAAATTAAACATCAGCAAGTAATAATTAGACAGTTTACACTTATTACAATAAAGAATCGCTCATCTATAATCGATAAAAATAGCAGCGAATCACAATACATAAAATACCACAAATCATACAAAACAATGTAAAAGGATTAAGTTAAGAAACAAAGACACATAGCTTATAAAATTATTAAAACACACACACACACACACACACACTATCTCAGTCTCTCTCTTGCAATGCAGGAATCATTTTGCCCAAACTTGGGGCTCAAAACTATGACCCTGAGGTTATCTTTATCAACGACTTGGATGATGGACTCAAGGGCATCCTGATCAAATTTGCAGATGACACCAAACTGGGAGGGGTGGCTAACACCCCAGAGGACAGGATCGCACTTCAAAACGACCTTGACAGATTAGAGAACTGGGCCAAAACAAACAAGATGAACTTTAACAGGGAGAAATGTAAAGTATTGCACTTGGGCAAAAAGAATGAGAGGCACAAATACAAGATGGGGGACACCTGGCTTGAGAGCAGTACATGTGAAAAGGATCTAGGAGTCTTGGTTGACCACGAACTTGACATGAGCCAACAGTGTGACGCGGCAGCTAAAAAAGCCAATGCAATTCTGGGCTGCATCAATAGGAGTATAGCATCTAGATCAAGGGAAGTAATAGTGCCACTGTATTCTGCTCTGGTCAGACCTCACCTGGAGTACTGTGTCCAGTTCTGGGCACCACAGTTCAAGAAGGACACTGACAAACTGGAACGTGTCCAGAGGAGGGCAACCAAAATGGTCAAAGGCCTGGAAACGATGCCTTATGAGGAACGGCTAAGGGAGCTGGGCATGTTTAGCCTGGAGAAGAGGAGGTTAAGGGGTGATATGATAGCCATGTTCAAATATATAAAAGGATGCCACATAGAGGAGGGAGAAAGGTTGTTTTCTGCTGCTCCAGAGAAGCGGACACGGAGCAATGGATCCAAACTACAAGAAAGAAGATTCCACCTAAACATGAGGAAGAACTTCCTGACAGTAAGAGCTGTTCGACAGTGGAATTTGCTGCCAAGGAGTGTGGTGGAGTCTCCTTCTTTGGAGGTCTTTAAGCAGAGGCTTGACAACCATATGTCAGGAGTGCTCTGATGGTGTTTCCTGCTTGGCAGGGGGTTGGACTCGATGGCCCTTGTGGTCTCTTCCAACTCTATGATTCTATGATTCTAAGAGTCTCATACTCTACAACTAAGCTATCCTTTGCACAAGGAGTGGTATAATAATAATAATAATAATAATAATAATAATAATAATAATAATAATAATAATGTTCTTGAAGCTACAAACATGAGTCTGACCAAACTGCGGGAGGCAGTGGAAGACAGGAGTGCCTGGCGTGCCCTGGTCCATGGGGTCACGAAGAGTTGGGCACGACTAAACGACTAAACAACAACAATAATAATGTAATGTGAAATTGCTTTCAGATTCTTCCTGGGAAGTGATTTATAAACAAAACCAATCTTTTTTTTAATCATTATTATTGGCAAGTGTATTTTAAACTGACTTTAAATTGAGCCATGATTGAGAGGCATCATATAGGCCTGTCTGGACTGTGTGTGTGTGTGTGTGTGTGTGTGTGTGTGTGTGAAGAAGTGATGTTATTGTGCAACTGGACCACATTATTTTGTTCCTTTTCCAGCTCCTGAGTGAACGCACACACAAGGGAATTCCATTCTATGCAGCTTGAAGAAACTCTACTGTGGAGCATCACGAAAGCACAATTGCCTGAATGGCGCTCGCAGAGTGATTGTGTCAAATCGTTGTCGAAGCTGTTTCTGAATGCATATAGAGGACGCCGCTCCTGAAGACAGATGGGGAAGAAACACTGAATTCATTTACATTGCACCGGTGCTGAATAGGGCAGGCAACCTTGGCAAGTAAAGCATGGATCACCGTTGAAGGAACTGATCAGACACATATTCTCTGCCATGAGGCATCAGAAGATGAATACATTTGTGCTACGCAAGGTAAACAAGCCATTCACAGTATGGCTGTAAGCAAGACAAATAAGAAGTCTTGATTCCAAAGTGGCCGGGAGTGGCATGCTTGTCTAGAGAGCCAGTGTGGGATAGTGGTTAGATAGAGTGTCAGATTAGGACCTGGGAGGCCAGGGTTCAATTCCTGACTTGGACATCTTGACCAGTCACTCACTTTCAACCTAACCTACCCCAGAGGGTCTCCTTGAGTTTCCTTGTGTTTCATGTTGTTGTTGTTGTTGACTTTCTTGGCCGCATCCAGCTGTTTCTTCTTATGTTCTTGTAACTGCTAGCTCATTTGCCATCTACTATATGGTTTCCTCGCAGCAAAGTGGGAATTAAAACTACAGTGGTACCTCAGGTTACATACGCTTCAGGTTACAGACTCCGCTAACCCAGAAATAGTGCTTCAGGTTAAGAACTTTGCTTCAGAATGAGAACAGAAATCGTGCTCCGGCAGCGCAGCAGCAGCAGGAGGCCCCATTAGCTAAAGTGGTGCTTCAGGTTAAGAACAGTTTCAGGTTAAGTACGGACCTCCGGAACGGATTAAGTACTTAACCTGAGGTTCCACTGTAGATACATATGCAAAATTTGCTGGATAATTACATTGTACAATGAAAACAGCTTAAAGAATTGCCATTCAAAGTTTCATATTTTCTTTTACTTAGCCAATGTATTATAAAAATGCTTTTGTTTTGTTTTTCGAAAATTGCTATTTATTCGGCTGCTGCGGGGAGATCGATATCTGACAGTGCAAGAAAAGAAACCAAACAAAGCGGAAACAAAATGATCTATTGATTCAGCAGGCTGACAATGCTGATGATGGTTTTCTATTATCTGTAATTTAGAGATGCATTTCCTACCATGATTTGTAACTATTATCCAGTCTTGGATAGCAACCCAGGAAATCTCATCACAGGACTTGTCAAACACAAAGAGCCATGTTAGAACTCATCAACTGCAGGGCCAGAGCTAGTTTGCATGCTCTAATTCTCTGGAATTAATCTAATTTGCAAAAACATTTCCCACAACAACACTGTTCTGGTGCACTCATAACGTTCTCAGTCTCCAAATTATGGATTATTAACCAGTCTCTGCTTCGACTGTGCTCTCTCTTCCATCATGTTGCTTGAGACACAATTAAACCACAATTATTCTGATGTATTTATCAACATCTGCACCAGCTATGCTTCAGCCTAACCAGAACCTCTTTAAAACTAAGGATGGGCAGGTCTATTTCTGGAGCAATCCAGGCTCCCATCTTTTTTTTACCCATATTGACATGCAATTCTATTTCTGCATTTCATTTTGTTTTTAAGTCTCAAAATATGTTTATTCACACAAGTGCTTATCTTGGGGTTTCAACAATTTTAATTAAATCTCCATTTTGGTACATCCAAAGTGTTGGGAGCTATGTTGCTACATTTGGAGATGTGTGAAATCGGATGGAGAGCTTATTCTGATCGCCAAATGTCGCACGGCAGTTCTTAGCGGTTTAAACTAACTTCCTAGAACAAACACAAATCAGAATAGAACTATCTATGGCGGCCTTCCAAGTCCCCGTCTCTCTGCCATCCCAGCAAAACAGGCCACCTATAGAACTACTAATATTGTGTCGTATAGCACAACACCAAAGTAACACTTCTTATTTGCAGAATGTGGATAGATATGGGACAGGGATTTTCAGCTCCAACAAATGTGAAAGATCAAAAAGGAGAAAGGCTTCTTTGCATTGATGTACCATGGTTACAGTGGTGCCTCGCAAGACAAAATTAATTTGTTCCGCGAGTTTTGTCCTCTTGCGATTTTTTTTCGTCTTGCGAAGCACGGTGTCGGGAAAGTTTTGGAAAAGCTTCAAAAATACCAAAGTCTTTAAAAACCTCAAAAAAGGCTACCACACCGCGTTCTATGAGTTGCTCCTCGAAGTCAAGTCGCAACTGTATTAACGGTGTTAAGAAAAAGGAAACAAACTTGCAAGACGTTTCCGTCTTGCGAAGCAAGCCCATAGGGAAAATCGTCTTGCGAAGCAGCTCAAAAAACAAAAAACCCTTTCGTCTTGCGAGTTTTCCGTCTTGCGAGGCATTCGTCTTGCGAGGTACCTGTGATGGGATGATGAGCTGCTTGTGCGTAAAATGCAAGTCCCTCAGAGTTTGTTCAAGTCCGCAAACCTCTGCCTACGACGGAGCCCCTCCGGCATGGCTCCGTAAGTCGCTAGCAGAATCCGACAGTGGGCGCTTACGGAATCTCTTCCAGCATAAAAGCTCCTTAACGGAAACACATCTTCTGGACTCTCGGCGCGACAGTTTCCGGCGAGGAGTGGGTGTCCCTATAGGAGGTCTTGAAACCTCCCCACTGTTTTCGCTGGAAGTGTCTCTGAGCCATCCCTCCGACTCTCCCTTGGAGCTCCTTCTCTCCCCCTGCTGGTTCCCTCTTCAGCTGCTAAGTCTCTCTCAACCTCAGTGAGCCCTTCCACCTCCTGTCCTTCCGATGGCAGTTCCCTGACAGTACCACTGTATATTATAAAGTAGTTGTGTTCTATGTTAGAAATCAAGCACTACTAAG